AACCATAAATGCTTTTGTTTTTCTCTAATTTAATTCTCTGACAAATGAGGGTTACATATATGATGGTGAAAATTTGGTTGTAATGCGAAAAATTAGTATAAAAGGATCTGTCTTTGAAGTATTATTATGTCCAAGCATGCAAATTAATGTGGCTAATCATGAGGCATCTCATGTTCCCAAGCTATTACCCTATTAGTGTGCATGCATATGGAGTGAAAGTAGTGACGGATTCAAAATTTTTTTAGTATTTAGGATTATTCATTGAAAAATTATTGATGGATTTATTAATTTTAGTAATAAAAAAAGTATGTAAAAAAAATTTCGGGTTGTCTAAGAGAAATTTTAAAATTTTTTTCAATCTTTAGAAATATTCATGAACACCCTATTAATACAAATGGATTCATCTGTAAATGAAATGCCTAAGATAATATATTTATGAAAAATATCTTATACAATATTGACGGTGAAAATTTAAAACTTTAATATCCTAAAAGAAATATATTTATCTATATTAAAAAATTACTTAATTAATAAATGGAGACATATAAATTTTTTAATTCTACTTATGACATCTAAAATTTTTATGATCTGTGTACAAAAAATGAACATTTTTGAAAAAAAAAGTTTTTTTGATGAACTCTTTGGCATAGTCGATAGACTATCACATGTACCCCAACAATATTTATTAAATACTAATAATAATGATGGAAAAGAATATACAAATAATAATGAGTAAAACAATAGAATTTTTGGCATATTATATTGATCCTAAGAATGCAAACACTATAGATTCTAAGTTCTAACACTATATAATATTAACAAAACTAGCAATTAAATACAATAATCAATGGGTGACACATACACAACTAAAAGGAATGAATGACTCAAAACTCAAGATTTATTAAAAAAATTTAAATAACCCATCATGAAAGGAGTTGCACGCATGCATTAGCTAACCCTAATAATAATAAATCTTTCCATGATCAAACCCATAAAAGAAATGTTAAGCATATCCTTTGCTTGATGATGGGAAGAATTGCATCCAAAATCTTATTTAAATCCTTCAACCATGCTCCATAAGTATGACTACCACTTCTTCAGTTTTGACCCAAAGTTTCTCCCTTTGCATTTCCAAGAATCAATCAACCAATATAAAAACATTGCCTGCATGCATAACTTTATATGATTAATGAAGCTGGGGTGATACCAAAACTTTTGTAGGTTTACAGCAATTAAACCTCTAGCACCTCCTCCCCATGTTACTCTTGATTGTTCTTTATCACTTGGCGGAAAATGGAAGAATAAACCGAAAAATGAGTGGTTAATTAATAATAATATTAAAATCGACTTTAAGATGAAAGTTTCGAATTTAAATTTTAATGGTAATTTAAAAAATAAAAGAATAAAACCATGGTTCTATAACCATTTACTATTGTGCAAGTCTTCTTTTAGCTTATCTTGAATTTAATCGTTAAATTGGCAACCTTGCATAATGTTAACCACGTGAAATGACGATGGGATTTTTTTTTTTTGCCATTTAATTAGTCCATCTTAAATACTTCTTTTCGTTTGTCTTTTTATTGGTATTTTTGGATTAAAAAATTCAATTTTAATAATTATTTTTTAATAAAAATTATAAAATTTTAAAATATATTTTTAAAATTTAATTCCATATAATATTTTAAAAATAATGATTAATGATTGTCTTTAATCCGACATTTGATAAGAGATCAAGAATTAATTTTTTTTAAAATTGTGATAAATGAACCAAATCCTTAAAATTGAGATAATACAAAAATCAATTTTCGATTTGGATGGACGATTAAGTATGTTTATTATTATTTTGCAATTGCAACACTTTTTGAAGGAGAATCTGAACAAAGAATGATCGACAGTTTGGGGACAACTATGTGCTCCAATTACTTCTTGTAAAAGTAGGAAACAGGTCCCAACGAAAGCAAGCAAAGGGCCAACATTGAAGCGGAATTCATACAGCAAGGAAAATTCAAAGTCGCAATTATGTTGTTGGGATGTGGTAACCCCTTCCCCTATTGATGGAATTTGCACCACAGTTCTCTATATTCTATAAATTGAATTATTCATATTTTTATATTTATTTATTTCGTATTAATAAATATAAAATAAAATTATTATTATATTATAATTCATATTAATAAATTAAATATAATATATATTTTTAAAATTATATATAATTTTAGTTAAAGTTTTATATAGTATTAATTTCATTTTTATCTTATCCTATCATTATATTATATTTAAAATATTTAAATTATTATTTAAAAAAAATAAAAGAATTTACTTAGGAAACTCCCCCCACCTCCACCATTTATCCTTTTTTTTTTTTCCGATAAGCTTACAAGTTACAACCCCAAATACCCTTCACTTGGTATAGTCTATTTGGTGACAAAAACAAATCCCAATCCCAAAATAAAACAAAAACTGCCCATCTATCTTAGCGTCACTTGTCCCTAAAACTATTATATCTTCTTTCATGGTTTAATTGGAAAATTCCCAAAAACAAATTTGTATGTCACAACAAAACAAACCCATACCCCACAAAAAAAAATCCCTTTTCTTTTTTAAGTTTTTTAGGCTTCTTTCTCTTTATTTTGTGGCCTTGTGGGGATAATGATTTGGTGCATTTACAGTTTGATGGAGTTTTGTCGGCATGCCATGCCACCAATGTTTATCCAACATTGGATTAAATATGGACCATCCCCCCTCTCACATCACGAAATCTTGTGATGATACTAACCTTTTTTTTCTTGCTCTTTGATTCATGGACTACTTTAAAAGAATCAAAGATGAAAGTGGTCCTCATTCTTTCAAGTCACTGGGCACCTTGCATTGTATTTTGCTTCTCATCTATAAATCTAATTCTTTAAAACACGATATAATATAATATAAATAAAAAATATAAAAATAATATAATTTAAAATTTTAATAATAATTATATCTTAATTTAATAAAATCAAAAAAATTGTTTATTTTTTTATCAAGGTATAATTTTTATATAAAATATTATATAAATATATTAATTTTAATATTTTATATGATATAAATTATTAAATTATTAAATCTATTTATGTCCAACTTATAATATTCATTATTTGTGTTTTCATTGTCTCTTAAGCTATTTCACTTTGTAATGAATTAAAAATATATGAAAAAATAATTTTTTAATTAAAAAAAGGTTATCAAACTTGTTAAATGTTAGTTATAAATTTTATAATTATACGAATTAATTAAATTAAAATTTTTTAAATTGTTAAAAGTAAAAAAATGGAATCTCCTTTTGAAAAGACTTTTTTCACCTTTGGAAGATAATCTATACCATTGATATTACATGGAGGCAAAAGGCCAAAGCATGAGCCACAAACATAACACACAATCATTTCAAAACAATCTTGAAAGTGGGTCAACAAAACAATGATCTCCAAACCAGTTGAGCAATGTGAAGCATTCACAAATAGTTGAGGATTTGAAGGCTGTATCAACATCAAGAGTTGTTGATCAGCTGAATAGCAACATTTTCTTAGATCTGAAAGATGGGAATCCAAAGATCTTCCCAGCAACTCAGAATTGCAAATAACAAATCGAAACTCTTCTGCATGAAAATTTTCAATAAATCAACGGATCTAACGATTCATTGGGTAAATGCACTTAGCAGCAATTACCCATGACATCAACATGCTACAGATCCCATGGGTACAAAATTACAAGTGGATCACTCGTATTCCCAACATTCATATCATTGCTATAACTCCAATTGAGAGTTTAATAATGAGAGCATGGTAACTGATATTCCTCTTGGTCAAGCTGGACCATAGACATGTAGCAGTAATGTAAAACTAATGTCATTCTCTACATCGATTTTGTCACAAAAATTTAACATATTATTATCACTTTTGCTGTAAGAGAAAGACTACATGGATTTTACTCTTTGAGTGTGAAGAGGAAAAAAGGTAAGTCTAACTTTATCCAATACAGTTTTGATCAGCTGAAAAAGTTTGATTAATTACTCTTAAAGATGAGAAGGCAAAAGAATTAGTTGGCCAGTGGCTACATAAAAACGGTAGGACCCAAATTCCAATTTCTAATAAATCGACCGTTACAAATGGCCTTAAAGCAGATGGATGCTGATCGTGTTTTTGCAGGAGTAATTGTTGAAGGTATGTTTTACTTCGTAGAAATGGAGAAATAAAAAAAACAAAGAGATTATGGGTTTTGAGAGAGAGGGGGACGCAAAGCATTACATAGGGACTAGAGAGAAGAGAGAGAGAGAGCGGGAGAGCACCAAATGGAGAAGTCTGCAGTAGAGAGGACTGCAAGTTCGAATTATTCTTCTTCTGTGTATGATTGCTTTTATAAAATCTTCTCAGTTAGTTCTTTTGGACTATTTACCAAAGCAAAGCACCTTCCCATCCACCATCTCTCCCAAACCACTGTCCCCGAGGCTGCGCCATCAGATCAGAACCAAGAACAAAGCAGAAGGAGAGAGAAAGAGGCAAGCTAAGCCCCAAACCCTTTTTTTTTTTAAAAGCAAAGAGAGAGATAGAGAGAGAGGGGCTCACTCACAAAGGCTTTTACACGTGATAAAGAAAACACCAAAAGCACTTTGCATGCGTGTATAAAGATTCATCATCATCATCATCCCCCTTTCACTACCCCTCTCTCTTCTCTCTCTCTCTCTCTCTCTCTCTCTCTTTACTTCTCTGATTCCCATTCAAAAACCCATCTTTGATCTCCCACCTTTGCTTCTCTTTTAATCTCTCTTCAGTCACCTTCTTTGGCTTCGACCCATCTTTTTTAACCCCTTCCTCTCTCTTTCTCTTCTTGTTGTTTTGCTTCAAAGTTCACTGCTTTGTCTGTTTTTTCCACTTGGTTGGTGAGTTATTTGGATATTATTTCATGATGGCATTTAATGGGTTCATTTTATTATTTTCTCTTAAGCAATGATTTTTTATTTTTTTGGATATCCACGAGATAGTGATTTCACTGCCCTTTTCAATGTTTATTCCTTCTATTTGTATACATGTTATTGTTTTTTGTTTTCTTCTAGATGGTTTTTATTATTTCTATATACCAAGTCTCATGGTTTCAAAATCTGTTCTTTTCATAAAAATAAATAAAATAAATGAACTTTCTTTAATGCTTTGGCTATGTTGTTATCTTCTTGGGCTTATATTCATTTGCAGTCTGATTTTTTTCCTAAAAAAATTTCAGTTTTCCGTAGGGACAAGCTTAGGGGAATGGTTTTGTCTTTTGGGTTACTACTAAATTATTCTTAACTCATTTTGTTAATGTTTTCTGTCTCATGATTTTATGGTTATTGGTTTCACAATAGAGGTTTCTCAAGAAGGTTTGGTTTGGGAGTTGATGTTCAGTTTTGTCTTTGCTTCTTACCATTTTATTTTTAAGTTGCAGAGCTAATTTTTTTTAAGCTTTCAAGCTTGGTTTGGGGTTTTGTGCCTTTGGTTATGTCTTCTTTGCTTGGTCTTTTGAGGTCCTTTTTGGAGAAACTATAATAATTGTGTTATTAAATTGGTTTATGAAATGGTGTTTAGAGTACTAATGGTGTTTAGAGTACTAAGTTTTCTATTTCCATTTTATTTTATATTTTATGTTTTTAATTTTAATAGTATGTAGTATGTAGCTTTTTTGGGGAGTGAGATGCTGAAACAAAGGTGAAAGGTTGGGGTTTAAGTGTTGCAAAAGAATGGTAAAGCTTGTAATGAGCAAAAAAAGTCTGTACTATTTGCCTATGCAACTTTGGTGTACTCTTACGCAGGTTTTTGCAGAATTGGTGTTTTTCCACTGACATACATTTTCCTTATTTGTTTCTTGTATGTTCAAGTAGAAAGGGTCAGTAATCCGTGAAGGTGAGGAAAACAAGCATAAGAATAGGGGAGAAGCCAGGGCTTTATGCGTGTGCCATTTCTTGAAATACCAGTGCTTTTGTTCTTGTGTTGTATCAGTTTCAGTGAGCAAGGTAAGAAAAGCTATCCAGTATGCCTATAAGGCAAATGAAAGAGAATTCAGAGCAACACCTTGTGATTAAAAATCACTTGCAAAACACTATGAACCCAGTTCAGAGAGCACCAAAGACTGCACAAAATGGCAAAGGTCCACCAGCAGCTCATGAACCAAATAACACAAAACAATCCCATAACCAAACCTCACCTCCAACAAAGAATAGAGGAAGAAGAAGAGGAAGAGGTGGTAGGAAATCTGATCAAGGAGATGTTTGTACGAGACCAAGTTCAAGGCCTTGCACTGTAGCACAAAAGCCAGTGAATCCAGCTTCTGGTGCTATTATGGTTGCTACTTCAAATGGGTCTATTCAGAATGGTCATAATTTGTCTGGAATGGAAATGGGATTTCCTACTTCAAGCAAGTCTTTGAATTTTGCACCTAGGCCTGGTTATGGTCAAGTTGGGACAAAGTGTATTGTAAAGGCTAACCATTTCTTTGCTGAGTTACCAGACAAGGACTTAAACCAGTATGATGTAAGCTCTTTTTTTCTTGTATTGGATCTTTTATATTAAAAATGGTTCATAGTATTACTGCAGCAAAACAAAAACATCTTATGGTAGTAATTTTTTTTCTAGTTTGTGATTTTTATAATTTGTTTCTTGTCATTATTTGGCGGGGGGGCCCTTAATCTGACATTCGTGATGTGTATGTTACTGTCTTTTCATTTTCGTTGTTACATTGAAGATGAAATTGAATAGGATTTCTGTTCTCACCATGTCCTTTTCTTTTAACGGCATTAATGGTGTTTAAATTTTGTTCTTATTGTTTTTTGCCATTTTGCAACCTGTATTCTGCTTCTTTGCAGGTTACAATAACTCCTGAAGTGGCATCCAGAACGGTGAACAGAGCTATTATGGCAGAGCTTGTGAGACTGTATAAAGAATCAGACTTAGGAATGAGATTGCCTGCTTATGATGGCAGAAAGAGTCTGTACACGGCTGGTGAACTTCCTTTTGCATGGAAGGAGTTCACCATCAAGCTTGTAGATGAAGAGGATGGCATCAATGGCCCCAAGTGAGTACGAATTTTCTTCTTTTTCCATGTCGTCCATGGACATTATACTTTCTTTTCTTGTGCAATGTGGGTTTTACTTTCTTGACAACAGTTCATGAAAAAAGAAATAATATGAAGATAAAATTATTTTACCATTTCTGTCTTTTTTTTTCTGATTTTTTTTTATCTATTTACTCAAAGTGGTTTACAATATGTATTACTTCTTTCGTGTTGATCTCCAATGACCCATACGTGATTTTACAGAAGAGAAAGAGAATACAAAGTGGTAATAAAGTTTGTTGCGCAAGCGAACATGCATCATTTAGGCCAATTTCTAGCTGGTAAGCGTGCTGATGCACCACAAGAAGCTCTGCAGATTCTTGACATTGTGTTACGAGAACTATCAACAAAGAGGTACGAGTTCTAAAAGTGTGTATTTATCAAAGAATGATTCTGGTTATCAATAACTTTTGTTCTGTGGATGTCACTCTGCCTGCTGATGTGAAGGTACTGTCCTATTGGGAGATCCTTCTTTTCACCTGATATCAGAGCACCGCAAAGGCTTGGTGATGGTTTGGAGTCATGGTGTGGTTTTTACCAGAGTATTAGGCCTACTCAGATGGGCTTGTCTCTGAATATTGGTATATGAATTATGATAAAATTTACAAAATTACTTGTTAGTCATCTTAGATTTATGTTTCTCATCATTTATTTTTACCTCTATTTACCTCTATCATAGATATGGCTTCAGCTGCATTCATTGAGCCTCTCCCTGTAATAGAGTTTGTCGCCCAACTACTAGGCAAGGATGTATTGTCAAGGCCATTGTCTGATTCTGATCGTGTGAAGGTGTCTTTTTCTTTTTGCTGCTGCTGCAGCCTGGTTTCATTCTTGGCATTTGATTTAATCGTAATTAACTTTGAAATAACTGGCAGATTAAAAAGGCTCTCAGAGGGGTAAAAGTAGAGGTAACCCATAGAGGGAATGTACGAAGAAAATACCGTGTTTCAGGATTGACTTCTCAGCCTACTAGAGAACTGGTGTAAGTTTTAAGCCTTTCTTTTCTGATTCCTGCTTGAATTTGTCTATTGAATATCTTGGTTGATAAAGAATCATGGATGTTAAGTATTTAGTGGAGCTTGAATGAGAGTGAAATAAAGAAGTTTCTCTGACCCTTTTCTGTCTTTTTGAGGATGCATGAATCTTTATGAGTGTCTATGCTTTCCTTGTTACATATGGCACCTTGTTCAGGTTTCCTGTTGATGATAACTCAACCATGAAGTCTGTTGTTGAATACTTCCAAGAGATGTATGGCTTCACAATTCAGCATACACATCTACCTTGCCTTCAAGTAGGAAACCAGAGGAAGGCAAATTATTTACCTATGGAGGTGAGAAGATGTCATTGAAAATTATATCATTCTTAGCTGTCAATCTTTTTCTTTTGTCAAATTCTCACGAGAAATCTGGATTTTTTGCTTTGCCAGGCGTGCAAAATTGTTGAGGGACAGCGATACACGAAAAGATTGAATGAGAGGCAAATTACTGCTCTCTTGAAGGTCACATGCCAAAGACCAAGGGATCGGGAACATGACATTTTGCAGGTATGTTTGATATTGCAATCTTGTATGTTATGTCAAAAATACACCCCATTCTGTATTTGGGCAAACTTTACATTATAGGATTATAACCTTTGTTTGTTCATAATAAATTGAAGCAATGAAAGAACCTTTAAAATACATGGCTGCTTTTCTATCGCAATTAAGTATTAAAGGATGACTACTATCTTACCTTGATCTCTCTGATGAGTGATGACCAAAGGAACTGCATGATTCCTACAATGCATAGCTTTTAGGACGGTTTAGGAAGTTGCTAATCTATTCTCTGTGTGCCCAAATTTCCATTTCTACTTTGAAAAAGTATGCTAATATGAGGATGAAATTGATGTGAATACTGGACTCTATGCATTAAGTTGCAGACTTTTAGAGAGAGGAATCTCCAAAAAGGGCTAAGTTGCTACCATATGAAATATAATTTATTGGTTTTTGATCTTGGGAATTATTGGGGTTTTGTAATAACCGTCTTCTTTGTATATTGAACACAAGCAGACAGTTCAGCATAATGCTTACGACCAAGATCCTTATGCAAAGGAGTTTGGGATCAAAATCAGTGAAAAGCTTGCTTCAGTCGAGGCGCGAATCCTTCCTGCTCCTTGGGTAGTATATCCTAAAATTTATGCATAATCTGAAAGAAAGAAAAAAGATTTATTTTTCATTGACCATTTGATTGGCTACTTGCAGCTGAAATATCATGAAACTGGAAAAGAAAAGGATTGTTTGCCTCAAGTTGGGCAGTGGAATATGATGAACAAGGTAATATGCACATGTACATTTTCACTATTACTCTTTCTACTGGCAAGTTCTCCTTTTGCCACCCTTCCTTATTCCCTTTTAAGCAAGGAGAAAAATTATTGAAGTAACAGGGAATTCAATCCAGAGTTTTGAAATGTTTGTGAAGATTAAATATATAACTTTTATGCTAATCAAGTTTGCTGAGCAGTTAAGGTACATGGGTAGATGAACTTAGGTCGTTTCTTATGTCTAGTTTATGAATAAGCTAAGCATGCGATGCATAGGTTCATGTTTCTTTAGTGCAGTTCTTATAGAGTATGTTCTCTTAGTTGCACTAAGTCTAGAGGCTCTTTTAGTTAGACCTATTCCTTTTCTAGCTTGTGTTGCTGATATTTTGGCCTCTTGTTTTTATGTGATTTAGAAAATGATCAATGGGATGACTGTAAGCCGATGGGCATGTATTAACTTCTCACGAAGCGTGCAAGAGAGTGTTGCTCGTGGGTTTTGCAATGAACTTGCTCAAATGTGCCAAGTTTCTGGCATGGTAGTTTTCTATATCTTATAATCTTGGGCATTTTAGATACCATGTTCTAGGTTTTTTTTTCCCCTTTATTTTTTGTATTTCATAATTTCGGTAAAGTATAATTTTATAAGTTATTGCTGTTTTATAGGAGTTCAATCCAGAGCCTGTTATTCCAATCTACAGTGCCAGGCCTGAGCAAGTGGAAAAAGCTTTGAAGCATGTTTATCATGCATCCATGAATAAAACTAAGGGAAAAGAACTAGAGCTTCTATTAGCTATATTGCCTGACAACAATGGATCACTTTATGGTATGTTAAGTTATGATGGTTTGCGGTTCTAATTCTTAGATACTGGTTATTGGAGTACTAAATCGTGCCATCTTTCTACTTTCTCAGGTGATCTCAAGAGAATTTGTGAAACTGATCTAGGCTTGATATCACAATGCTGTCTCACAAAACATGTCTTCAAGATTAGTAAACAGTACTTGGCTAATGTTGCCCTTAAGATCAATGTTAAGGTTAATTCATTTCTCCCAGTTATACATATATGAGAAATTATCAAATACAATTGCAGTGGAGTTTCTTAGATTCAACAAGAGGGGTTAATAGGGTGACACATGCTTCTTAAGATGTATTAAAAAATAAAAAAATAATTCAAAAATGAAGTGAGATATGTGTTAGTTTTTTAACCCCGCTTGTGAAGTTAAAGAATTTTACTGATTGTGTATCAAATAATAACTCTAAAAGTAATTTATTCACAAAAATGACTTGAAACCAACATTATGGTTACTATATATGCTTCTATATTCTTTTCACAATATATATTTGAAATTCCTTAATAAACGAGTATCCCCCATCATTGATGCAGATGGGTGGCCGAAACACTGTTCTTTTGGATGCGATCAGTTGGAGAATACCATTAGTTAGTGATATACCAACCATAATATTTGGAGCAGATGTGACTCACCCAGAAAATGGAGAAGACTCCAGCCCCTCAATAGCAGCTGTATAATTCCTTTTCCTAATTTATGTTGTTCAAACTTGTTTTTTCATCCTTGTGCTAAAAGTTAGAAGCTGCTTTCTCAAATATACTGGTGCTACAGGTAGTAGCTTCACAAGACTGGCCTGAAGTGACAAAATATGCTGGACTAGTTTGTGCTCAAGCTCATAGACAGGAACTCATACAGGACTTGTACAAAACATGGCACGATCCTGTACGTGGCACAGTTAGCGGTGGCATGATCAGGTATACCAATGTCAATTCCTCTAGACCAGTACTTTTTAACAATGAAGTTACATCTGTTTTCATTTCTAATTGCAATTTCTTTTGTAGGGAACTTCTGGTGTCCTTTAGGAAGGCAACAGGGCAGAAGCCACTGAGGATTATATTTTACAGGTTTGGCATGCAGAATTTGTTGCCAAATTTTTCTACTGTTGTATTTCATTTCTGGTTGCAATGCCTTCATTAAAATTCAACTTGAGATAGAAGTCTTATTCCCAAAGTTTTAGGAGGCCGAGAAGAGTTGTCAAGGTTTTCCTGTATTGTATCCTGGGAAAGTTGGATCTGTTAGCATGGGACTCATGCATCTGTAAACTCTGACACGCATTTATTTGGACATGGATGCTTGCTTGCCCCTGTTTTGTCTTATGAAAGCCTTGTGTACGCTTGTAGTCCTGTATTTAAACTATTTAGGTGGGTTGGATCCATTGGTCATGCATTTGCACTGGTTATGGACCTTCATGTCTTGTACTAATTGGTTAATCATTTAAGCAGGGATGGTGTCAGTGAAGGGCAATTTTATCAAGTTCTGCTGTATGAGCTAGATGCAATCCGGAAGGTGAGTGAATAAATTTTCATTTTCTGACGACTCTTTCTAAATCAATTGAAACAAATTTGGAGATGTTCACGGTTCTGATAAAGAATTTATTTGTAGGCTTGTGCTTCTTTAGAACCAAACTATCAACCGCCGGTGACTTTCATTGTTGTACAAAAACGACACCACACTCGACTGTTTGCTAACAATCACAGGGAGCGAAGCAGCACAGACAAGAGTGGAAACATTTTGCCTGGTAAAAGATTTAAGTATCTTGGATAATTTGGTTGTTCGAGATACATGGGCATTGCACAACTTGAGCATCATTAATTGCTCTAATAATGTTGCATTTTATTTTTTCAGGTACCGTTGTTGATTCGAAAATCTGTCATCCAACAGAATTTGATTTTTATCTTTGCAGCCATGCTGGTATTCAGGTAGAAAATTAATATTCTTTATTCCTTGTCCATTTCAGGTACTTCTTCTTGGATTTGTTTTTTGATATTTCCTTGACAAATTTTGCCTTAATTTATACGTGTTTATATCTGTTAACGTATGTGTGATGATAAATAGTGACTTCATGTGGGTTAAATGTGGGATGCTTGGGAGAAGTTGCTGAGTTATAAGCTCTATGAGAAAGAAAATAGTGAACTGTTAAGTGAAATGGAATTTCTTTTGATTCTTGACTTGCTGTATGTGTGTACTCTGAAGTCAACAAGATTTATGTTTGAGATCCTCTGCAAAGTTGTAGAGTGTTGAAGTAGTGACCTCAACGTTGATGGTACTCATAGCTACTTATACTTTATTCACCAGGATACATTAGAAATTTTTGTTTGCTTAATTGCAAATATCATTTAAACATGTAACCATGCTATAAACTAGCACATTCTTTAATTAAGCTGTCATCTGTAGCATAAGTGTTTATTGTAGAATTAATTTTATCTTCTTAATTAATATGGCAGGGAACAAGTCGGCCAGCACACTACCATGTTCTTTGGGATGAAAACAATTTTACAGCTGATGGAATACAGTCTCTAACAAACAACCTTTGTTACACATATGCAAGGTGCACACGCTCGGTCTCTGTTGGTAAGTGAGGTTTTCGTATTTTATTAGTATATCTTTGCAACCAAAGCCTCTTTCATGCACCTGAAGGACAATGAAATGAAGGCTGTTAGGACTCCGAAAAGTTCATTTTTAGTTTAAATTAAAAAATTTTCATATTTTTAAGTAGGAATTTCATGTTAAACTTTGAAAGCAAGGATGTGAAATTTTTTTACTTGATGTAATGAGCCTAGAAATTCCGCAAGTTTTTGGCCAAGTCTAGCTTATTTATAAAAGCAAGAGTAATCGAAACCATGTGGAAAAATCTTAATTATAATATATGAGCATTTTAGCCAATGGTTTTGATTGCTATTTGTGGGTTCATTTGCAGTTCCTCCTGCATATTATGCACATTTAGCTGCATTCCGGGCACGGTTCTACATGGAACCAGAGATGCAAGAGAATGGCTCAACAGGTGGTGGTACAGGTAACATGAAAAGTACAAGGGCAGCAGGAGAATCTGGTGTGCGGCCATTGCCAGCCTTGAAGGAGAATGTGAAGAGAGTGATGTTCTACTGTTAGAATGGAGAGATGCGGCGGCAATCATTAATAGTTTTTCATTTCTTAATGTTATTTGTACAGCTGGAACGACTAATGCATGTAATCCCAAGGTCTTCCAAATTTAGGTTGGTGACTGTCCACAAGCTTTAGTTGAGGGAGGAGTTTCCTACCGTGGCGGATAGAATGTTAAAACTAGGCTATGTAAAGAAATGTTCATTTAGAATCAATCTTGGGTAATGAGAAATTTGGGTCTTCCTCTCTCACATCAGTGGGCATGAACCCACGTGAGAGAGCATGTGTATGGACACATCTTATGTAAAGCTACGGTTCAGCTGAATTTTTTTGTTATCAACAATGGACGGGCATATCAGTTACCAGTTGGGAGAATTAGCCAGGTTTAATCCATGCCCAAATTTTGTCTGTTTATGTAGCCAGAGGCAGAGAGAACCTTGCAGGCAGCTTAAGTTACTTGATGAAATTGTATCTGCCACCGAAATTTGGTGCTACATGTGTCTTAATGATTGATCAATAGCCTGGTAATAGTATTGCAGCTACAAGTGTCATGTTTTTACAGTTTGTTTTGGTAGTAAAGAAATAAATACAAAAAAATATTGATGCAGAAAGGAAATGTTCGACGAGTCCCGTTATCGGCTGTGGCAGAGTTTGAGACTGGAGAGTCTGGCATGACCCCTGAGGGATCTAAAATATTTTACTTCTGTGCACACTCAGTGTGGTTGTGTGAAATGATAGATAAATAGAATGGAAGTCAGGCACCCCAACACTTAATTTTTTTTATCACAATCATGAAAAAGAAATTGTATATAACTTAAATTTTATATAATATTAAATTATTATTGATTAATTACGTTGCTTATATATGATATGGTCTCAACCCGTAAGCCTTTTGACTCAACCATAAAGTGCATGCATGTATTTCTCTCTCGATATAAGCGAATGCAAATCCTCTTCCCCTCTCTTTACCTATAGAAACCATGCACCAGCTAAAGTATATGAGAGAAACATAGCTTTTTGTAGGTTAAAAGTAAAAAGAAAAGTGCTCGATAGGAAGAAACCAATGAATTTTGATCAAATTATACAATAAATTCTTATACTTATATGAAATTTAAATTTTAATTCTTATATAATAATTTACAGAAATTAGGTCCCCATACAAATTTAATTTAATGATATTATCCAATTAATAACAATGATATTTGATCTCCGTTAAATAATTGATGTGGCTGTTGACTATATTAAATAAATTTATTTGTGATAATTTGTAAAGTTTTAATTTATGAAATTTAAGTATTTGGAAATCATTTGTGTCAAAACAAAATTCTAAGTTATAATATTATATTTCTACTTTAATTTTGTGCTTTCCTTTATCACTAAAAACTATGAGATATTAGAAATTTTATGGTTCAAAGTAAGTCAAATACTCACAAGATGTGAAAATTTCAAAATTAAAAATTATTTAAAAATTATTTTAAAAATTATTTTCAGCAAATATTCGATGTATTTAGTTATAAATTATATAAATTTTACTTATATTATTTTTAATAAATTTTTTACTAATTTTAATAAATGTTTATTGTATTAATTTCATATTATTAATCTTATTAAAAGACTATTAAATTAGATTCCAACTTAATTATTGAAATAAGAATTTTTTTGAAGATCAAAAAAATTGAAAGTTCTCAGGATATGTTTATTCTATTAAAATAATATTAACTTTGATATATTAATTTAAATTATTAACGTTATAATTGATTAATATAAATGATAATAATATTATTAATAATTAATTATATATAATAAAAACTAATATATTAGAGGAACTAAAATATTTTTAAAATTTAAAATTTGAAAAGATTAAAAATATTAAAAATATTTTTTATATCAGAAGGATTAAATTTTAAATTTCGTACAAATACAGAGACTAAGTTTTGAATTTCATATAAGTATAAGAACCGTTTGCTTAATTTAACAATTGAATTCATCAATCCCCATTGCTACATTAACAGGTCAATACCATATCAGCATGATCAACAATTATATCAATTATTTAACAGAAATCGAGTAACACTCTTATCAATTGGTTTAATATTGTTAAATTAAATTAGTATAAGAATCTAATTTTTACAATTATTATATAGGAACTAAATTGCAAATTTCATATAAGTACAATAACTAATTATATAATTTGACCATGAATTTTACATGAGTTGAATTAGCAACATAGCCCTTGAAAAAAAAAATCATAATCGTATAAATTTTTTCCCCAAATTTTTCGCATGTATAATTAATTTATTCATAAGTTAGTAACTGGTCTAGATTTTTCTTTAATGCATAAGATTCTTTTCTTTAAACAATGGTTTTTTTTTTTTTAATTTATTCATTTGTAACCAGGTTTGTAAGAGCACTCATGGGATGCATGCATGGGTATATTCATCCTTGGTAAAACCAAAAAAAAAAAAAATTCAGAAATGACCATTTATTCTCTTTGAGTCTTCCATTTTGAGTAGGAAATTATTTTATTTTTATATTACGAAATTATCACTGGTTTGAAATCAGGCTTTTAACATGACTTTTCTGCCAGCTCCTGTACGTTTCGATTAAAGATTTTTGGCTAGAAATTGTTTGTACTTGAGCAGCTGTTTAATTGGTTGAAGCTTGATATTTTCTCTAACATCTTTGGACAAGGCAAATTACTGCTTCCATTTTCAAGATTGACTAATTTTACTAGAAACAAAAACAATCTTTATAAGAACATTGCTCTTTGATTTCTTCTTTTCTTGTATATATTTATTTATTTGATTAAAACAAATTATAGTCTAAAAGTTAAAAAAAATTATAAGTAATACACTTTGAATCCTAAATCTGCGCATTTTAATAATAATAATAATAATTTTGACTTGACCTAGTAAATATTGGTGCTGCCATGCCAGGAATATTTTAGGGTTAATGATTCTAAATTTTCTCCTGGATTTGAATCATTGTAAAAAAAAAGAAAAAAGGTTTCTCACTCTCTCAATCTCTTACATAAATGATAAAACATATAGTTAGAGGGTATTAATGGGCAAAGTGTAGTAAGAAGACCTTTTCTTTTGCACATGTAATGGCCCCAGGGAATGTTAATTTCTAAAACATGATGATGGTCTAGTACATGGAGTTTGATATGTATGATCGATCTTCACTTCCGAAGAACAGGAAGTAACGCTGATCGATATTCATCTTTCATTGACGTTCATTTGAAACTATCTCAACATACTTTCTCAGGTCTGAGGTTAGCCATGTACCCCAAAAATAAAAATAAAAAAACTCTCAATTATTATCTTACATTTTCATGCAATATTTACTGCAAAACTCATTAGTAAGAGCTTGATAGCCTTTCAGTTTTGTTCAATCCGGTGTTGCACCATTGGAAACCATCCTCAGCTTTGCGACTGAGATCCAAAAAGACCCCAGGTAAAAGTATCAAATAGGTTCTCATATTGTTGACAAAGCTACAGACCTTTAAAGATAATCAATTAAGATCAAATTAATAAAGTGTGAGGAGCAAAAATTATGTAGTAGGGGAGAGAAAGTACCCAACAGTCATGTGGCCTGTTGGTAGAATTCCATTCTGACAATCTTAAATAATAAAAAAAAAAAGTAAAAGCATTCAGTGAAGGGAAACTTAGTTAGCTACTACAACAGACCAGGGCCCCCCTAGACAAACAGGCACTAGTCCACTTCTTTTATCGATACTTCTCTTTCAGAGAATGAAGTTGATCCATCTTTGATCCCCTTTAAGGAAAACAGTGTTAAATGATACCAAAGATCTAGCTTTATGGGGCTAATTCCCAAGAGCATCTTTAAAAGGAATGTAAGGAGTACTTGTTAATGGATCCTCAGGTTCTCTTCATGCATGATAGCTGATATGTGAAGACACTCTGGAATAGTAGTAGGGGGAATCAAAACTAATGACATTTCTGGGTACTTATGGAAAAATGAAAGATGCATGGAATCTTGCCTCCATAAAGCTTACTACCAAAAGAGAAGAGCCAAGTCCAAGATAGATAGAAAGAAAGCAACCCTCTTGGAGGAGAAAGAGAGAGAGAGAACTGAGAAGAGATAACATTTACTCAATGGAGTTTCATATGATATTAAACATAGTTTTTGGAATAAACACCAACATCACTTAATAATCACACTCCTGTATTAAGGTCTTAAAAAAATTCACAGGATTTTAGTAGATCAATTTAGGCTAAAATATGAGTATCATGTGCATTCTGTCTGTAAGGCTAAAAATAAGAGGAAAAATTTTTGCTTCATTTGGATGGCCGGTTAAGAGATTCCAACCTTTATTTGACTAATGCCGTTCTCTCATTTTGGAACTGGATCCTCAAATGAAGCATTAGTCAATTTACCTTTCTTTTGCTCTCCCCATAAAGGAACTAAGCACTTCAAAATTGATCTTCTATCGGATTTGGGCAACGGGTTTCATATTTTTGCTCTCCCAAAAGAAAATGTTTTATGTATTCTGATCATTTTGGCAATATCTTCTTTGGACTTTGAAGTCTCTAAGATCAAGAAGCAAAAAGTATACACTCATGCTTCTATTACACCGGAACTAAGCAGTAAGCAGCTACAATTAAGCCAAAAAAAAAGAAGATATGCAGTGGAATATTAGCTAGATTCACAAGTTCAAATTCTTCAAATGAACCAAGTTTTTCTTACTATTGCTATAGTCCTCTAAGATCCCTATATCTCAGAAATATTCCACCTCCTGTTGCATCAAAACAGCTTCCATGTCACCTCAAGAAAAAAAAAACATGCTGCTAATAAACTCCTATATATCTATGACTATACATGTAATATATCTTCTTCTGTGAATGACATAATGTGATGAACTTGTAAAAGGAACAGAAAAAAATGATTAAATTGAAATCTCTCTCTCTCTCTCCAACCCACACCTTTCTGTTGTCTCCCTTTTCTCTGATTCACAAAATCTATGGGAGTTGAATAAGCAGGATCCAAGCTACTAAAGGATACCTTGGATTTAGTTTAAGAAAAAAAGAGATGGGAAATGCAGGTTTCCAACCCTCAAACCTTCACAGGGCATGTGAATTAAGGTCTCTTTGTGATGTGGGTGCTTTTCTATTTTGCTGGGAGGTCTTTGGATTTTCTGGCAGGGATTTCATCTGAAGTCTGATCTGTGTATGGGCTGGTAAGAGAGTTGTAATCTCTCTCATTTTGTGACCTTTCCCTTTACTCTATAAAATTCCCTGGTATAGGAAACAAATTAAGGTCTCCTAATTCCTCTCTGATTTTGTAAATCTGCTGTAGTTGGATGGAAAGAAACCCCACTTCAGAAACAAGCCCTAGCTACACCAATATATATATATATATATATATTAGTAACAGAGATGAAAAAACTAGGAGTTGTTGTCAGCATTCGATATTGGTAGAGTTCTGGTGACTCAGATTCGCAGCCTCAGGTACAAAAAAAGGCTGGGAGTTCTAAATAAAATTGAATTTGTTCATGAAAACCCTGAAAGAGCAAAAAGAATTATAACGAAATGTTCGGTTCAAAAAAAATTTGCGTCATGAAAAACCCTAAACAAAGAGCTTATCATACATAAGAAATAAAATCAATAGATATATTGATATATCAAAATCCATTACGGAGAAACTGTACGGAAGGTTTAAGGATAATACCTGAGATGCTTAATTACCAAAGCAGTACTGAGGGATCTTGAAATCATCGAAACC